ATCCATCCATCCATCCATCCATCCATCCATCCATCCATCCATCCATCCATCCATCCATCCATCCATCCATCCATCCATCCATCCATCCATCCATCCATCCATCCATCCATCCATCCATCCATCCATCCATCCATCCATCCATCCATCCATCCATCCATCCATCCATCCATCCATCCATCCATCCATCCATCCATCCATCCATCCATCCATCCATCCATCCATCCATCCATCCATCCATCCATCCATCCATCCATCCATCCATCCATCCATCCATCCATCCATCCATCCATCCATCCATCCATCCATCCATCCATCCATCCATCCATCCATCCATCCATCCATCCATCCATCCATCCATCCATCCATCCATCCATCCATCCATCCATCCATCCATCCATCCATCCATCCATCCATCCATCCATCCATCCATCCATCCATCCATCCATCCATCCATCCATCCATCCATCCATCCATCCATCCATCCATCCATCCATCCATCCATCCATCCATCCATCCATCCATCCATCCATCCATCCATCCATCCATCCATCCATCCATCCATCCATCCATCCATCCATCCATCCATCCATCCATCCATCCATCCATCCATCCATCCATCCATCCATCCATCCATCCATCCATCCATCCATCCATCCATCCATCCATCCATCCATCCATCCATCCATCCATCCATCCATCCATCCATCCATCCATCCATCCATCCATCCATCCATCCATCCATCCATCCATCCATCCATCCATCCATCCATCCATCCATCCATCCATCCATCCATCCATCCATCCATCCATCCATCCATCCATCCATCCATCCATCCATCCATCCATCCATCCATCCATCCATCCATCCATCCATCCATCCATCCATCCATCCATCCATCCATCCATCCATCCATCCATCTATCTATCTATCTATCTATCTATCTATCTATCTATCTATCTATCTATCTATCTATCTATATAAAAAGCAATGTATGTGTGTCTCTGTGTGTGTCCTTTATGCATTACTACACCTCTCATCACATCGCCGTGAAACTTTGGGAAGCTGTTGAAAATATTCCTGGGGAGGTTTCAGCGGAAAAAAAAATTTCAAATTCGCAGGGGTGGCGCCCCGGCAGGGCGCGATTTGTTTTTCTCTATATACCGTATATAAAAATAATAAAAGTGAATTGCAGTGACACTGTTCACACGATCGCCATGAAACTTTAGGAAGTTGTTGAAAATATTTTTGGGGAGGTTTCTGCGGAAAAAAATATTTCAAATTCGCAGGGGTGGCGCCCCGATAGGGCGCGATTTGTTTTTTTCTATTTACGGTATATAAAACTAAAAGTCGATTTTGGTTTGGCATCGTTCATCCAATAGCCATGAGACTTTGAGGAGTTCATTATACCACTCTAGGGAAGGGTTCTGTAAAAAATCATTTTTAATTTCGCAAGGGCGGCGCCACGGGAGGGTCCGATTTTTCTCTATTTACGGTATATAAAAATAATAAAAGTGAATTGCAGTGACACCGTTTATCCGATAGGCATGAAACTTTGGGGATTTCATTATAAAACTCTAGGGAAGGGTTCTGCAAAAAATCATTTTTAATTTCGCAAGGGTGGCGCCACGGAAGGTTGCGATTTTTCTCTATATACGGTATATAAAAATAAAAGTCGATTTTGGTGTGACACCGTTATCCGATAGCCATGAGACTTTGGGGGAATTGATTAGAACGATTCAGGGAAGGGTTCTGTAAAAAAAAATCCTTTTTACTTTCTCGTATATACGAAGTATAGAGAAAGTATTGTAATCGTGCAAAAAAAAATCGAGATTTTTACAAATCTCGACGTTTTACACCTCACTGATACGGAAAAACATAATTTTGCAATCTTGTCCGTATGTCTGTGTGTGTGTGTGTGTGTCTGTGTGTCTGTGTGTCCGTGTGTAAACACGATTACTTGAGTACCGTTACAGCTAGGTTGATGAAATTTCATATATAAGTATTTTATCAAAATCGTAGATCCGTATCAACTTTTGAGCGATTTTCGATAACCGGAAGTGGTACTTTTCCTACTTTGAATTTTTCAAAAGCCTATAACTTGAGTACTATTTCAAATAGATACATGAAATTTCACATGTAAGTAAAAAATCTAATTCTCTACCTTCTGTTAAATTTTGAGTAATTTCCGTTGACCGGAAGTAGTAATTTACGCTACTTTTGATTTCTCAAAAAACTAATGTAAATTTTAGAAGTACTAATAATATTGCGCACTATTATGCGCTTTTTTATTTGGCGTTCACTTGGTGTGCAATTAATTTGTCTACGAGATTTTATTCTATTTTTAAAACTTTAAGTATTTAAAATGGATTAAAAATCATGTCTATAGCCCGAGTTCCCATCCCCTGTTATTTTATATAAGAATATTCGAGAAAGTTTATGGGAGATCACTCCCGGTTTATTTTATTTCGCAAGGGCGTCGCCACGGGAGGCTGCGATTTTTCTCCATATGCGGTTTATAAAATTTCGGTTTCACACCGTTCATCCGTGTACCATGAAACTTTGGGGAGATGATTAGATCACTCAATAGTAGGGTTCTGCAAAAAAAAATATCGTTTAATATTGCAAGGGCGGCGACCCCGGGGGGGCGATTTTTTTTTCTCTATACACGGTAAAAAAAAAATAAAACTCGGATGCGGTTCATCCGAGTGCCATGAAACTTTAGGGAGTAGATGAGAATACTCCCGAGAATATTTCTGCGAAAAAGAAAACTAAAGTTTCTTATGGGCGGCGCCATATAGGGTACAACTTTCGTCAATACACGGTTTGGCGCCCAGAGTTTTTGAGCGACTATGTTGGCACTTGGCATCCGTTAATCGAGCGTCCTGCATAGCGAGTAAGGGGTACTACTATATTCAGCGGTAAAACTACAACAGGCTGCTAAAAATAACTTTGTAACGCGTGGAAATCCTTCTGTACAGTTTCGTCACCTTGCGGAAGATGAAAACATAACTTTTTGAATATGAGGAGCCTACTGTAGAGTTTCGTCACTTTGCGAATGATGCAATAAGCATCTATTATTAGACGATCCAGTCAGAAATTGAGATCGAGCATCTAATAATAGACCATTAGTAACGCTAGCATATTACATCAGTCACACTGATATTTAAAACAAATAATTTTTTACATGTTAAAGAAAAAAATCCTGTTTATTTGTGTCACTTTAGCGAATGACGAAATCTGCATCATTATTAACAGGATGCTATTTGGCCGATGGCGCCTTTTAGTTTTAAGGAGCCAGGTGTCGTACGCCGCGCCTATGCGGTAGTGTAATCGGGGGGTGGGGGCCCTGAGAGCGCACCTCTACGTCTCTGACACAGGGGCTGTCACCGAAGTGTGTTCTACCATATTATTTCGGTGAGTGATTAATGTACACTCAAGGTTTTCATGCGGTAGTGTAGGTAAACCCGTGTCCTGATATTATGATCCAAGCGCAAGCATTGTTTACATTTAAATAACTCATTTTTAGAAAAGAAAGTCACGCGTCTAAGAACATATAATTATAATTGATAACGCGTTGGTGAAATCCTAATATATTTCGTCAAACTTTCTTCTATCCCCGCGGCAACGCGCGGGGACGGGTACGCTAGTTTATATATATATATATATATATATATATATATATATATATATATATATATATATATATATATATATATATATATCATATAAGGAGAATTTCACTCGCGGTCATATTTTAGCCCTGGTCGCGGGCTTCGAGTCTGACCAACAGTTTTTCCATACGGCCTAGTCATCTATAGAATTGTATGCAAAACATTAGCATGATGTACAGAGGTTAAGTAACCTAAAAATTGTGTTGAAAATTCCGTTTTCCCCATAAAATACAAAGATTATATAGGGAAATACAACTGGTCAGTTTTGACCCCTTCACGAAGTTTTCCCAGATATGTCGAGTTTTTTGTGACATCTCTAGGCGTTCTCCTACCACCTCACTAATTTCAAGGGGGGTCGTAGGAGGAAAAAATGTTTCGTAATAGAGCTCATATAAAGAGAATTTCACTGGCGGTCACTGTTTAGCCCTCGTCAAGGGCTTTGAGTGAAACCGACAGCTTTCCCTAAAGGTCAAGCCATTTACCTAAGAGCATGCAAAAAATTAGCCAGATGTAAAGACGGTAAGTGCCATAAAATCCGTTTTGCAATCACCCTCTGTTTTTCCCATAAAATACAAAGTTTATATAGGGAAATACGACTGGTCAGTTTTGACCCATTTAACGAATTTTCCCGGACATGGCGAGTTTTTTGTGACACCCCAAGGCGTTCTCCTACCACCTCACAAAATTTCAAGGGGGTTCGTTGGAGGAAAAAAAATTTCGTAATATAGCCCATATAAGGCACCGGTCAGTCGAGGTCAGTTTTGACCCCCTCTCCGTAGACTTTTCGGCCAACCGTCGCCGGCCCTCGTGTTCTATCGCCCCAAGGCACCATCGTGCCAAATTTGACGCGCCTGGGGTGCCGGGAAGTGCCCTATTGGGCACTTGACCACTTTGCTTTATATATATAGATAATCTAACATCCCCTATCACTCCAACATCATTACTCTGCTAATCCAAATAAAAAAACAAAAGTGTTTGCTAAATTACTATTATATTACTAGTTTTTATCTGTTTGACTTTTTCTAGCCTTAATAAAAGCGGAAGTGAGTTTGTACACAAATATTCAGTTTTGGCTGAAAGATATGCTTCCTGGCAACAAAAATTTGGAACCATTTGGAACTAGCTTTTCATGCCTATCATGTAAGGTTAGTTTTGTATGCCAATAATTGACAGTTCGACAAAAACTGCTATTTTACTTTCACGAATAATAGTTTATTTATTTTTTTAAAAACAATTTTAGATAACTTTTTCGTCTCTTCTCCATTAACATCTGCTGACGGGATCAGCAGACATCTCCAATCATTTAATATGTTTAACTTCAAACTTACCGCCATTTTTTTTACATCAAACGAATGGAGTGTTGCAGAACAGACTACCATCTGAAGACGTTTTCCATCATTGGTGACTTTTGGAATTTGCTGATGTAAGCGATTGATCAAATCACCATATCCAGCTGACAACAGCCCGTCCTGAAGTAAAAAGAAAATAGAACTGACATGGACTGTTTGTGATAATAGAAATGTTGGGATAAAGGGTATGGGTGAAATCTTAGATTGTAACTGTTATAATAAGCTTATTCATCTTATACCCCGAAAAAACACATTAAAACGTGTACACATGGCACAATGTCAATAATATTTGACATTATTTACCACTTTTTAGTCAGGCTGAACCCTGGCTGAATAAAGAAAATCGAATTGTTTAAGTGATTTACAACGAATAACACACTGATAAGATGATTGCTGTGGCAAGTAATTTGCACGCCAGTTCTATTCCTGAAGGTAATCAAAGATGTCAGGCTCGTTACGGGAAAAACCGCAATAATAAAGGTATGCATTACACGCTGCACGAAAGACGGGTTTTCAATTACAGTTCTTCCATAACAGGCAGTGTCGACTGAGTGCCAATATCGCAAACACGTCAAACTTCCTCATTATTCTTGTCAGAGAAAACAGCCCAGAGGGAAAATTTCAACCAACATCAAGTTATGGACGCAATTTAAAACGTCAGTGTTGAAATATGTGTTTAAATAAAGTAGATGGAAAGCCACTGCGTTAAAGTATTAGTTTTTCAATAGAGGGGGCTAACGAAAGGAAAATTAAAACAGAAGCATTTTAAACTTTCGCTATGATTCAGAATCTAGGACAATATTTTCATCAGAGCAGTTGGCCAGATCGTATTGTAAATTATCAGCCACTCTAAATCTTTGGTTTAAGTACTCCGGGCAGCGTAGTTACCACATCCAAAAAAAGATGTCCTAGGCATTTCCCATCCATTTGTTTTTACAATAACTGTGGATATCATAGCTTTACATTGATCGTTTAATTTATACAATTATATGAGGTAGAGAAACAACATTTTACACTGTTCGTAATGCTCCTCTTATATATAGTGTTTGGTATAAAACCTACAGAAATGTATTGATTGCTTTCTGTCTATTCAGACCAAGTTCACGTGATAATGGCATCTACAAAAAAAAATTTTTTAAAAGACTCGATAGCGGCTATTCAGAATGAGATTGATGAAGATAAAAGAAAAAGAAAATGGTTTCGATATAAAATGCGAAACTAAACGATCACTTCTAAGTTTAACACAAAACCATCCGAATTACAAAGTGCGCAAGTGGTTAATTTATAATTGTATCTTCTTGATACACACTTTGTATAAGATGACTCCTTTGACTACCGTCATATCATGACATAGGTGCAATATTACTATCGAAATTTCACCCATTTTAACGAAATGGATTTGTTGTAAACTTGAAACGTATGTCTAGCTCTTGTAAACTTCACTTAGCTGAATAATAATGATTGTTAAAGTTCTGAACGATAACAAGAACATATGTCATTTTCATGTTCAATAATTGCGGGAAAAATAAGTCGCCAAAAGGATGAACATAATATGAGAATTTCTGTTTAACTGCATTAACTCTGTAACTCAAGTAGTCTTGCAACTTTTCAAGTAAATACCCTCATGTTTCAAGTAGTCTTGACAAATTTTTACATTTTCTTTATAACATAGTTAACGCGACTAAAGAATAACTAAAATACACAATTTCATTCAAAATTGTAAGTGCATTAATATCGATCGGTGTCGCATCAAAACATTTTTTGATAAAATGGCAATAACCTAAAATTTGAACGCTGGTAAATATTAGTGGGGAGCTATTTGAGAAATTTCTGTAGACAGATTTATAGATTTTTTTCCCGATGGTACCGAGACACGCGACATTAAGTGCTTAACGCTTCAAGTAATAGCAGCTTTGCGAAACTCAATTTTAAAAAGTAAAAAGTAACACAAACTGGCAGAAGATCGTTTTAAGGGTATTGACATGGCGTTATGCTTCTTGTCTGTTGTTAAAATTACGATATAAAATAATAACGAACTATAAAGAGCATAAGATTTTTTTTTTTGGTTACTTTAAATATTTCATACTAAATAATTATTTAAGATAGCTAATTAATATAATTTAAGTTTGCAATACCAAAGAATCGGGCAGCATCAAATGGTGTAAACTTCAACACAAATATGGCATAACTTCAAAATACACATCAAGTTCACCATATGCGTGTTCCGTCTTACTAATGAGGCTTTATTGATGCTACTAGCAAGAGGGGTTATTTAGTTATAAATTAGCCTCGGGTGTGCTGAACGGGCGGATGTAATTGACATTTTGTTAACGGGAAAACTCTCCTCCACAAACCTATAAATAGAGACGAAATTTGAATGCGAGCATCTTCTACCAGTGGGTCAGCAATGTATGCCGATGTCTGTCCTTTTCAAGCACGGCCAATAGAAAATGTGATCACGGGATAAATAGGAGAAATTAACGACTTGAGGAATAATTGCCTGGTGAGGGGTGGAACTTGTGGGCACAAATGATCGCAAATGGAAGCAACTAGAGTATGTCAAATATCAGAAGAGGTGGAACTGGTTTTACGTCAGACCATATAAAGTGAGTATGTTTGGTGGTAGAGAAATAAAACCCGAAATGTGAAGAAATGGTTCCCCCGTTATCTATTTTCAGTTTTTTCCTCTTTTCCTAACAAGCGTGCTAACTAAAGTAACATTATGACGTCATTAGATGCTTTACTTGATCGCTATTACTTTGTTTTTTGTAAGCGTCCCTTACTTTCAGATGACGAGTTTTTTCAAAACTACGGTAGTGGTTAAAACCTGTGGGAAAAGAGTTGAATTACTTCTAATACTCTGTTGTGATCGTATTAATTTCTTTCCATTTAAAGCGGTAATCAAAGTGTGTTTTTACTTGAGCTTTTAAAGTAAGCCTAATTATAAGAATTCGCTACAAGCTATAATCGTCATGCAAGGGGTTATTTTGTTAGCTTGTGGCTAAGGTTAGATCTGATGTTAATACTGCAGGAAATAAAGCGGGAGTCATTACCCTTAAACTTCTCGTATATCCCATATAATAATTGCCTTGTTTCGTCTATCGGATCCGTAATCGTGTAAGTAAATAAGTAATTTGAATTATTTTAAATAGATCTTATTTAAGAACGCTATAGTCTCCCAGATAAAAATAGGTTTTTAAATGTTATTGTATTTTTTAATACTTTTTTAAAATAAATAGATTATTTGTTTACTAAGCTATATTTTTAAAATCCTAAAAGTGTTATATATGTAACGATAATATATATACTACACTAGCGGCCTGTCCCCGCGCGTTCCCTCGGTTTCAGAAGAAAGTCTGACGTAATATTTTAAGAGGGTTTCATCAATGCGTTACCAATCCTATATTCTTACACGTGTGAATTTGTTTTCTAAAACTGAGTTATTTAATTGAGAGGTAGAACACACTTCGGCAACCACCCAGGTGTCAGGGAGATCTCGGGAGATCGTACGGCACCCTGGCTCGATTTAATCATCGAATATAGTGTGCCACCGTGTCAATATTGTAGGGTACTTTTTACAAACAACGTAGGCGGCATAGTGCTCACAGGGGAGCCCGGGGCGCTCTGGGCCACGCAATCGCCGGGCGCCAGCGGCTGCGCCTGTTGCAGTTTTACCCCTTACCCACTATGGAGGACGCCCAATTAACGGATACCAAATGCTAACATGGTGTATTGACAAAAATCGCACCCTCCCAGGCGCCGCCCATAAGAAATTTTACTTCTTTTTCGCAAAAGCCTTCTCTGGAGTATTCTGATCATGGCACGCGGATGAACGGTATTTTTATATACCGTATATAGAGAAACATCTTGCACCCCACACTAAGCTTTGGACCTCTCCGACGATGTTTAGGCACTGCTAACCTAAAGTATACCAGATAGATGGTCTCGTGGATGATTTCAGTAATTTCTGTTAAAGCTGGGCCTCGCGTCTAATGACATGTTGCTAATAGATCATAATAGCTCTTAAGAGTATTTTCAAGCAAAATGTGTTTGAGCTACTACGCTTATTTATTCAACCTTGGATGTGGGATGACTCGAAATTATTGTTTATTTAAGTTGAGGAAGTAAAACAAGTTAGCAATTATTAGTCTGATCTGATTAGAGTTGAAAAAGAAATCGTTTGTTGAAGCAAGTTTGTAAAAAGAAAGTATAGAAGCTGCGTAAGTTAGTCCAAAGTTCTAGACGATAGGAATCTCTAAGAATAGAGTAATTTCTGGTAATACCCTCCCAATCCCCAAAACCCTAATTGGAAGTGAGTATCGGTTACAAAAAGAACGCCAGCATTAAAGGAAAATTCGCTTAAACCTTCTGTAGGGTGGCCTACGGGAAGGGTGTCAAGATAATGGGCTAACCAAGGTATACTCGAGTTTCTTAACACGGTCCTTTTTAAGAGGAAAAAATTAGAGTGGTCCTGTTGTTGGCCTTATTCTGTAAACTCATTATTTTGATTCAGCTGTGTTTTGTAAGAAGGTAGAAGGTAAGGGTCTTTGATCCAAAAAAGGAACATATTTTGGTAAAGAAATAATTATGATATTTAAGGTGGATTATATTCCGTAATGTTTCATAATTTGTTTGCATTAATTGACAAGAAAGTTGTTCCGAGCACAGTGTAATGCATGAAACTAATTCAGATTGTCAATGGTTCTGTGTGCAGCCCAAGGGCTACAACTTACATTACATAGACTTGTTTAAGTTCACGTATCGTTGCTCCACTAACCAACAAGCAACTGAGTCATCATTCATAGATGTTTTCCTTGTGTGATTTAATGTATTATGGATTTTTATCATATATTTGATCAAACGTATGGGAAATCAAGAAAAAAATCTTTAGGGGCCAAATAGATTCTAGAATCAGAAATTAACCAAAATTTCAAAGCTGAATATTCATCATCATTTAACTAAGTACATAATCCCTGGTCAGATTTATAAAATCCTATATAATTTATAATATCTGACGTCTGACGTCTTTCCCTTTAATTAATCATTTTAGACGTTTTAGGATGAACCACTTTCTCCCAAATTGGAGATTACCGCTCATTCATTTTCTTTAACGCTATTTGTTGAGAAAAAAGCTGGCGACCCTTTATATATTGTATCTGAGCTTACAAGATAAACTGATTTCATTTAGACCAAGTGAAAAGAGTAATCGAGATAGATTTTGATAGCTCTATAAACTAGAGACCAATCTGGTTATTTTAAGTTTTGAATTAACTGTGGTAAAAGCTTTGTGGGATGGACTACTCGATTTTGTGTACTCTTCTATCATAGACAACATCGCGGGTGTAGACGAGGTTTAATCAGAAAACTTTAAGACCACTCAATACCTTTGAAACAAAACGTTAATTTATATCGAAGATGGAATGAAAAAGGGATGGTAAACAAAAAATAGTACGGCAAGCGGTAGGAACTATTCGTAAATAACTCTAGGTAAGACGGCGGTTTGAACTCTTATTTTATTCCTCGTCAGTTGGGGCATGACTACGAAGGCATATACATTTCAAATTACTCTCTTGTAAACCGATAATGATCAATATCACCTTTACAAAAAAAAAACCTTCGTAGATTGATTGAAGTTCTCCGGTTCAGTCCCTGAGTACACCTAGCTATAATGGGCAACTGTTAAGTTAGAAACAGCTGCTGATAGAAATGACCACACAATTACTTTCCCAGATAAGAGACCATCAGGTCCGAAGTGACCAACTGACTTTACCAATATCAAAGAGCACGACGTTATGATGTATACATGTTTATCCCTCTATAAAATCTAAAGCCATACCTCACTCATCATTAATCCGCCACTTCCCGATGACCCATAACCTTGACAATTGGTATGGGCATCTCTCTTCCCCCTTATCTCAAGACAGGGATTTCATAACCAGCTCTTTCAACACTACCCTCTTTCTATCCATATCGTCCTCTCCGTACACTCACGTAATATTTCTCAATTTCTTCTTCGCTTTATTTCTTTGAACACCTACAGTGCCTGGTCAAATTATGCTCCGCCAGAGTCTCGCTGGTTAGAGCTGGCCTCACTTACTATAACTACTTTTAATTTTGTTTACAGCGTAGCGATGTACGAAGTGCGGGAATTCTTCGAGGATGACATCTAATAAAACAGCCTACACATGAAGGGCACACTTCTTTACTCAGTGATCTATTAGCACATCATGGAAGTTTAAAATTGCTTTAAAATTGTGTTTATTATATAAATGTATAGGATGCATTTTTACGAGAAGAAACTAATCAGACTATAAAATCTGCCTTTTACGTGAAAATAAAACATGCATTTTTTTCATAGATCAGCTGTAATTTAAAAAACGCTTTATACTTATTTCAGACAATCAGACATAATTTTAAATTAAACTGCTTAAATGAAAAGCAGCAAAATATAAAGCCTTATAGAGCTTTTCATAGCATAAATTTCGTCAAACTGTATGAGAGCGCTAAATAGATTTTCATCAACCCTTCTTTTTAAATTATTCAACCTACATACAGTAAGTATTTCGATTAAATAGGATTCTGAATTATGGTTTAAGTTAAACATTGTCTGATGCTCCCCATGTGTGTAAATAAATGCACGGCCTTCAAACATAACAAATACTGACTTGTATAGAGAGAGAGTTTTATATCTACATGCTTTATATGCTATATATATATATATATATATATATATATATATATATATATAATATATATAATATATACATAGATATAGATATAGAAATATATTTATAAGCCTGTCTAGTATATGTATCAATAGACTTACACATTCATCCAAGACGAAGAAGCGAACTTGACTGAGGGCGAGCTTGGAAGTAGATATCAAGTCTTCCAGACGTCCAGGTGTAGCCACAACAATATCAACCTTAAGTTAAAGAAACGACAAATCACCATAATATCCAAAAACGAAAATATGCCATAACAACAGACGTATATTTTAGAGAATGTGTTGACGCCAATATTGAATCTTGTTATTATTTTGTCCTGTTGTTTTTGTTTGAGACGTGTTATTTTACGTCTAGCAGACATGGCCAACCAGATGGTTGTACATGAAGAAATATGTAATTGCTTTATTGTGTAATTAAATTCCATGGCTGCTGGGCGTGAAACACGGAGGCCGAAACACGATTTTTTATTGTGTTGTTTATATAATACAATTAGGTTAACATAAATTATCCCAGCTTCAATTCTAAATTGATTAAACCTCGCATTGATATTCCTTTCGCTGTCATTTTTGTATTTATTTGTTAATAAAGTTAGAATAATTTTGATGTCATCTATTTCTTACATTGTTGTTGATCCAAGATTTTAATAACATAAACTCCCTCCCAGCAAAACGAACGAATCCTCATGCGCTAGGCTTAAATACAGATTGTAAATACATATACACAGAATTATCAGATGATAGTTAAAATCGCGTCTCGTTGTCAAATTGTATTACCCAAATGCTGTAGGCTTACTATAAAAATAAAACTAGTTACTTTTGAGAAGTAGCAGAAGTTTTCTATCCACAAAAATTTCTAACTAAAATTTTAAGTACGCTTAGAATCGATATCTCAAGTCATTTCTTTTTATTTTCTTAACATTCGGTGCAACGGAGTGTAATAATAATATTCAAAAGTTAATTCACCAAAAAAATGTTCTGTTAGTTTGAAAGAGACTTATATTACTGCCCAAGATAGTATGCATAACTTATATACCGTTTCTGTATCGATAGACTTACACATTCGTCCAAGTATAAGATCTTATACTAAGATGTTGGTTATTATGTTGTCTGTTACATTTTCAGTGATTTTAGAGGAACGGAAGTAGATATGTACGCTGTTTCCGATTTCTCAAAAAATATCACTTCTACTGGACTGATTTATTTTAAACTATACAAGTGGGTAAAGGCTCAATGACAATGAAATGTGACCAGAGGCGTAGCGACCCTTCCCGGCGCCCGGGGACAAACTTTCGATTTGCACCCCACCCCTCGAACTTTTCATTTGCACCCCCCCCCCCCTCAAACTTTCGATTTAACTTTCAATTTGTCATTCCAACTCATTTTGGCGCCCCTCCCCCCTAAGGTCAGCGCCCGGGGACATATGTTCCCCCCCCCCCCCCGCCCCAGCCCCCGCCCCCGCCCCTCGCTACGCCTCTGAATGTGACAAAGAATGGGAATTAATTAGACGAGCCGACCCGCGGCGTATCATACGCCGCTATTTAGTTGTTTTATTTTCTACTTTTCAGTAATTCATAATTTGTGAATTCGACAGCAGTACCAACGCTGAAAATATTTGTTTTAAAACACAATCAGTAGCTCGTTAAGGAGGACGATAACCCCCCCCCCCCCCCCCCCCCCCCGTGAAAGTAAACTCCTCTTAGTTACCTCCCCTAAGTTTAATATCGTTTCAAACTAAATTATCTGCCCCTAATAGCCGTAACCAAACCCGGCGTGAACCACAGCTCCCCAGACAATGTAGGGGTGGGGGTGGTAGGGAGCGAGCTTACAGCTTGGTGTTTTCTATCGTCTCCAAGAAGAGATTTATATATATATATATATATATATATATATATATATATATATATAGATGTTTAGCTAACTTGTTTTAAAGTTAATCAATGATTCGTTTATAAAGTATTATTATTTCTCTCAATTATGCACGCATTGTTTACATTTGTGTACAATAGTGCGGAACATTAGTACTTTATAAATTTAAATGCGTTTTGTTTTTTTGTTTTTGAGAAATCTGAAAAAAGCGTAAAGTACTACTTCTGGTCACCGGAAATTACTCCTCTTTGAAAAAAAAATGGAGAATCAGATTTTTACAAATATGTTAAATTTCGTACATCTATCTGAAATAGTACTCAAGTTATAGGCTTTTGAAAAACCGAAAGTAGAATAAGTTCCGGTTCCGGTTGCGGGAAATGGCTGAAAAGCGGTAACGGTACTCAAGCTATCGTGCTCACAAACAGACACACGAGAGAGAGACATACGGACAAAATTGAAAAACTAAGTTTTTCCGACTCGGGAGGGGGGGGGGGATTGATAAAGATTATAACTGCAGAATGTCATAATGTGATTGAGTATTGCATGGATAAGTAGACGAAAAGTAACTAGCGTTACCAAAGATGCCATTAGTAAGCGGTTCAAGTTATCTACAGAACCTATAGAATGTAAAACTTTACAAAACAAGCTGTTCTCCGTTACTTGCGGCACGGATGTGAGAGGTGCTAGTAGGAAGAGCTAACTAGTATAAGAATCGTGATTTCGCCGCGTTTTGTAACGAGATACTTGTGTTTCGTGGTTAATGCCATAGTGAAAGCGTGCCACGACGGCTATTGTTAATGTCTGGTGTCTCCCTGGGTGGAAGTGGTAAAGAACCCAAGTGAGAATTACTGGAAATCGATAAACGGGGGAGACATGGATAAGCTCGTGGATTGAAACGGATTCGGTCATTTTTAACATTTAAAACACGGTTCAATTACACGTTGTTCCCCAATTACATCATAATAAAGAAACAAAACATCGTACTAAAACGACGGCTGGACAGATAAAACAAGAGCTAATCCACTAGTTTTATACATTCTCTCCGAAATGACACATAAAATAGCGATGTTTAGAAAAAAAAAAGGGATGATAAGGATAAATCAATAGACTACAAAGTACAGAATGAAAACAGGTTTGCCAGTCCGCCCAATACATTAAAATAAAGACTGTTTCCACACAACAGAATGTATTAAGGCTCCCTTTGGTTTATGTCATTGATAAGTGTATTTTTGTGTGTGTTTACCTTTAACTATTTACAATGAAAATAAAAAATACCAAACTTTCTCGTGTATACGAAGTATAAAGAAAGTCTTGTAATCGTGCAAAGAAATGTTTTCTGCAAATCTCGACGTTTTACAGCTCCTTGAGTCGGAAAAACATAGTTTTGCAATCTTATCCTATGTCTGTGTGTGTGTCGATAAACAAGATAACTTGAGTACTGTTAACGCTAGGTTGATGAAATTTCATATATAAGTATTATATCAAAATCGTAGATCCGTATCAACTTTTGAGCGATTTCCGATAACCGGAAGTGGACCTTTTTTTTACTTTCAATTTTTTCAAAAGCCTATAACTTGAGTACTATTTCAGATAGATAAAGGAAATTTCACAGGTAAGTAAAAGATCTAATTCTATGCCTTCTATCAAATTTTGAGTAATTTCTGTCGACCGGAAATAGTAATTTTCGCTATTTCCGATTTCTCAAAAAAACGCAAGTAAATTTATAAAGTAATAATAATATTCCGCACTATTATGCACATTTTATTTGGCGTTCGCTTGGTGTGCAATTCTTTTTTCTACGAGATGTTATTCTATTTTAAAAAGTTTAAGTATTTAAAATGGATTAAAAATCATGTCTATACCCTGAGTTGCCATCCTCTGTTGGATGATATAAGGATATTCGAGAAAGTTTAGGGGAGACCACTCCCAGTTTATTTATATTTGTTTTATTTCTACTTTTTAGTTATTATAAAATGTGAAAATCAAAATAGTGAGTCAATATTAAAGTTTTTAGAAGCAATTATTTGGAGTGAAACTACACATCCGTTCACCGCCGTCGTAGTACTTTATTTCGTTATCTATTCTAATTTTTATTTTTTCTATATAATATAAAATAAATAATTTAAATGAATTGTGATAGATAATTTAATTCCTAACTATATTAAAATGCCATAAGCTTGCATTGTCATAAAAATGATCTTACCGGGAATGAAATCGCTGCTTTAACAACAGATACTGTGTACTAATTAAGAGCTTATAAAAATCAATAAACTAGATTAAAAAATGTAAATGGTACAGTTTGTTGTGTTTTATATTTGTTTAAAGCAGTGCATCTTCAGGACTTTTTTCTCTAGGCGGACACTGGTAAATATTTCTTTCGGGGCGGAAGGGGGGGGGGGGGGGGTAGACCATATTCTCTTTCTCCCCCCCCCCCCCCCCCCCCCCGAAGAAAGAGGTGCCTGGAAAAAACTCTGATTTAAGGCGGTAATTAAAATATTAACACCCTAGTTAAATGTAAATAATTTAGTCTGTTTCTCTCTTGTGATAGACACTCGATACCATTAATGATTTATCGAAAATTAATAAAATATTACTATTTAGTTTATGTATGGGTGTACTTTAAAGTTTTCAAAAACACCAGATCATTTGCTTTTCTTCCAGTAAACAGGAGGTCTGTCGGTTTTAAGATATCTGGTCCCTTATTCGTGCGGCCAAATCGATTCAGTTATCGTTCAGTGCAAGCTGTGGCAACACCACGCAGCTTGTGTTCTAATGTAATTTACACACCGACGTCGCAGAGAGATTTGGGCCGGAAATTGGATACAACTAGAAAAGCAAACGAAATTGAAACGATTTGCTCTACAGCAAAAAGCATTAATTTCTAATAAAAACAATTTGGAAAGGACCGCTAAAATCAGACGTTTTTCTATACAGTAAATTTAAATCATCAATTATAACAGCTAACTGACAAAGCAAATCCAAAACTTTTCACAAGTTGTATTGTGTCCATAGAAATATCACAACTATTTCATTTTGGCAGGATTCTAGTTATTAGAAACCGAAATTTCAATTTCTAAAACAAAGAACTATGCGTTTATAATTACCAAAGAATCTCACCAGTTGAAAATTGCTTTAAATGTGGCACCTCCAACTACATTTACAGAACGTGCGTGTTTATCTTAGGTTTCACATAAGTGACCTTCATATTGACCTCGCAGCTCTCAAAAGCTTTTTTGCGACGTAGAATCGGTCAACGACCGAAAGTCGAACTTGCCTGTGCGTGTTTGGATATGAGCAGCTTCGGGAGTAAAGGAAAGATAAATGCGTTATTTATGTCTGGCTTTGATGGATGGTGTCTTGCTGTTTACGGCATACCCCAACGGTTACAGCCTCGCGTGATTTGATCCTCAACTAATGACCTATATTACTATAAATATCTCTATAACTATCTGCCAATAGCTTGAAAATTGAATGAGCAAACAACATAATAAATAATACTAGTCAATTCATATCCTAAATAAAGGAAAAACATATTTGGAAAATAAAAAGAAAATTAAATGGATGGTTTTCCTACACAATAAATCTCTTTTCGTGAGCTATAATCTTGTTTGTTTTCTGAGCTAGAAACAATCCACGAGAGCGACAAGATTTCAAGCCCACTGAATAGCAACCAGCTTTCTGCCCTTTGAATTATTACAAATGGATATCGTCCATACACGCTTTATTTTCCGATGGTTCTCAACAGTGAGACAACAACTTGTAATTTATCTGCATTGACCGCATGGAATTTTGCTCACACAAACAGGTAGCAATTTACATCTCCTCCACGGTACACAATAGTTATTTGTACTGTAGGGGTTTTCAGACAAACAAAAAATATAATACAAAACCCCTAAAGGACTTAGCTTTTCTCAAGAACCATAAGTAATAGTAAAAAAGAATGTTTTTGATTTTAGATTTAAAGTAGCAGCAATACAATTCAGAATCTAATTTTGAAAAATATTTGTTTTAAGCTATATTTTTAAAATTTGATACAAGTTATAAAAACACCAAAAATAATTATGGCTTTTAAAAACCAATATGTGCAATTTTTTAAATAGCTAAAGCTTTTTTTAAAATTATTTAACACTAACCAAATTAGTGTTTTATTTTTATTTACTTTCTCGTATACGAAGTACAGAGAAAGTATTGTAAACGTGCAAAAAAATGAAATCGAGATTCTCACAAATCTCGACGTTTTACACCTCCCTGAGTCGGAAAAACATAGTTTTGCAATTTTGCCTGTATGTCTATGTGTGTATGTATGTGTGCATGTCTGTATGTCTTTGAACACGATAACTTGAGTACTGTTACAGCTAGGTTAATGAAATTTCATTTATATTTATTATATATATATATTATTTATTAAATTAAAAAGTATCAAAACTTAATTCTACAAGTACGAGTAGTTAAACTGAGTATTTATAAGGGAAAAAATGTAATTTTTTTTTAAATCTTAAATGTAGCTATTGGCTTTTAATTTTATTTTTCAAATGTCATGGATTATTATGTTACTTCTCCCATGTTTAAAATTATTCACGGATTTTTGCTTACCTTTGTCTTTTTAAAACGATTATTTTATTATTTAAAATGGCTTTGGAAGAAAACATTGAATTTTTTAAAGATATATTTTTTTCTTATCTTACCCCTTTTGCCAGAATGTCAGTTTGTTCTTTGACGTTGACACCCCCAATGATGAGTAACTCCTTCACCTCGGGGTCACTAAGGTGTTTTTTAAACTTTTGTATCTGATTTAATGTCTGAAAAAAATGTCAATGTTATCACAAAGAGCATACAACACAAAAACGAGCTGCAAAATTACAGTGTGTTCGAAAAATGAACGTCAATTTTTCATGACATCCATGATTTATAGAGTGAAAACATTTTTTTTTAAACTATTGCTCTATCCATATCAAACTAAAAAATTTTAAAGCACATGTCCTTAACATCCCCATTAAAAACTCTCCTTACTGGACAACTTCCCTATCCCCACTCGACACATCTCCACATAAGCCATGACATCTTCCCAACCCCACTCGACATCTCCTCCACACAAACCATGGCATCTTCCCTATCCCCACTCGACACACCTCCTCCACACAAGCCATGACATCTTCCCAACCCCGCTCGACACATTCCCTCCACACAAACAATGACAATTTCCCTATAACCACTGCCCCTCTCTTACCCCACATCCCCCGACGGCACACAGTATCTTCACTATCCAGTCGCCCCAAACCTCTTACACGTATACTTTGATGGGGATTGAATGAAAGTATTACATACCTGTTCTGCTAGCTCCCTAGATGGCTGTAAGGAAAAAATTTAAAATGATATAAAACTAAAACGCATTAAAATAACACATTTTCTTTCAATATTTAAATGAATACAGAAAATGCTTTCACACCAGCGCATCTGAACAATGCAAAATGCAGTTTTTTTTATTCATACAGTTTTTTTTTTCGTAGCCAACAAAACTCCTTATGGAGATACAAACATCTACAATTTTCTGTTTGTTTCTATAAAAAAAAGGAGCAGGTCACGTGGGATTCTACACCAGTCGAGGAATATCCTGTTGGCCATTTCAATACAATTTGTGTCTTGAGGAGCAGCAGATGTTCGACTTTTTTCTGGTCGGCCACCATGGAATTACATTAAGGTGTGGGTTTAGAAAGATAATGAGTGCACGACACTATAATCACGGTTTCTATTCATACATTATATATCGTGCCTGATTAGCCTAACATTCCCCCGACATTTCCATTCTGTTATGTCTTTTAGTAGAGCAGTTTGAAACAAAAATACAGAACAATATACTAAAACTAAAACGACAATAGCACGGACAGTAGAAGGAAATTTTTATTTACCCGAAGCCAATAAGAAAATTGTGGTCATTGAACTGAAATCATGACCTATTATACAATCGATCAAAGTTTGTCTTACTAAAGTGATTTGAATGTAGTAATTTAACTGTAGCCTTAGCGGCAACAAAGTATCTTCCAGTGAGTTCTTTGCATTTGCAGATTTTATAACAATTATCCCTAAATGCTCATTTTTAAATTTTACCAGACTATCCGTTATTCTCGAATAACCGAAGGTTTCGGGAGTAATCCGTAAATGACGTCACGTTTGTTTGAAGATTTTTATCTTTCACCTTCCTTTCCCACTGTCACAGATCGTCACAAAAAGTCAGACCCCACATTAAAAAGGGCGTCAGACCCAAGGCCACATGTTACTGTCTTTTAAAAACACCGATTTCGGCTCAGCATGGGTCTGGCCACACTATTCCTTCATATGCGGAAGACACAGAAACAGGTGAACTCTACTTCGCCTGCGCCGTGTACGGCCAAGTCCCGATGGGCAACTTTATCATTCTAAAAAAAAAATAACATTGACATGTGTCTCCAACTCGTACCAACCGAGTGGTAACTATTACACTGTAATCTCAGCTAGCTGGGCACTTAAATACGTACTTTACAGCTCTACATATAGCGCAATGCTCTCGTGTAACCAAACAAAAAAAAATATACAAACTTGTAAACAAACTCGAGTTTTTAGTAGTATATAGATAGATAGATTTTCCGCTTTAACTGTTAGCTGTTTGTTTTACTTTCTCGTATTTTGAGTATACAGAAAGCGTTGTAATTGTGCAAAAAAATCAAATGAGATTTTTAAAGTTTCTGTCGATTTACACCTCCCTACTTTATCGAATACAAAATAGGACTTATTGTAATCGTGCAAGAGATAGAAATCATGATTTTAATAAATCTCAACGTTTTACACCTCCCTGCGTCAGAAAAACTTAGTTTTTCGATTGTGTCTCTAATCTGTGTAAACAAGATAATTTGAGTCCCGTTTATAATATACAGATAAATTGATCACTGTTTCAGTTAGATCTAAGCGGACGAAATTTCTACTATAAGATCTTATTCACTGGTTTCTGTAAAAAAAAAATTAGTGATTTCCGGTGACCGGAAGTAGTACTTCACGTTTCATCACATACATTGGAAATGCCACCCCAAATAGTGTTATAAAAGAATATACGAGAAAGCTTAGGGGAGATTATTCCCGCTTTATTTATCTATTTATTTTTAACGGCTAATCAATGGAAATAATTGAAACTTTTGAAAATCGGAATACGAAGTTCAACAATTAAAAATTATTAATTTGTATGAAAAAGTAATAAAATAATAGTATTAAGATGCTTGCATTGCTTCATAATGCTTTGTTTGCGAGAAACATTGTTTGTTTTTTTTCTGTTTGATTAACAAGATGTTCTTCTTTGGCAAAAACTGCTTGACCATTGTTTCTATGGTCACATGGGGCTGTGCACGTGGGTAACTTTACTTAAGCAGAAGCAATATTAGATCTATACCTTGGTTTTTGCACTGTATTATTAGTTCTACGAAAGGTTGTCTTCGGATTAAACGTACGTCTCCGTTCTAAGCATATCTAATACAATGAAGATAATGAAGATAAATCTAAGACCTCCTCGGGGACTTCCGGCGCTGTCGCTTTTAGTAACTACTCTTTGGCAGCCAGAAAGACTTCTTTGCTTTGATAGCATTAGCGGTTGATGAGACATCTGGGGTAATTTATCTCGCGTTACAGGGACCCAAAGAGTCAATTCAGGCTTGTTACAAGTATGTGTGAGAGTGTATAAAACATTGGTGATTAATCATTGCTGGCCTAGGCTTTAAGAATAATTAATATTCAAGCGTTATGTGTGACTATATAGACTGATACCATAAGCAGTCGTCCATGAAGAATCCACCAAGTTGTATCCAGCAAGCCGAAAATTGCATGTTCACAAAGTACTTACCTCTTCGATGTATAAAATAAAATAAAATTTCTCAATGCACTCAACCGAGAGCTAAGTCAGGTGTTTTTTTTATATGGAATTTTATTTAAAAATTATATCGGCAACGTGTTAAGTACAAATTACTCTTTCTAAATATTAGTAAAGAAATCCTATCTATCCTAATATATAAAAGGCCATGTGCGCTCTTTTCTCTCTCTCTCTCTCTCTCTCTCTCTCTCTCTCTCTCTCTCTCTCTCTCTCTCTCTCTCTCTCTGTCTGTCCGCAAAATATTTTCGCCGGACATCACGTCAGAATCGGCAGCGATATATGGATACATTTATACGGACTTTTGTTGAAAATAATATGTTAGATGTTTTAAATGTATAACCACAATTTTATTTAAAGAAGAAAAATAAAAAATAAAGGCGTATTCGAATGTAGAGAAACAGTATTATTTATGCAACCGGAAAAGTGTTTAAACTTGGGACAAGAACGCATTTAACAATGACGTCGCTTATTGTTTACACTAAAAAAAAGAGCACGAAACTGATGACGTCATCTTCCGAGTTTAAAATAAAAAGAAATGAACTATTTCATTCAAATATGATTTAGAGCTATGTACGCTATGAAATTTATACAATACGATTTTCTCGGCCTAAACTTAAAAAAATTATTTTATCTATTTGGATTCTAGATCTAGAGATTCTAGATCTAGATATTGATCTAGATCTAGATATTCTAGATCATCTAGATCTAGAGATTCTAGATCATATAGATCTAGAGATTCTAGATCTAGATCTAGATGATCTATAAAGCTAAGTTGTCGGGTGCCCGACAGGGCACTTCCCGGCGCCGCAGGCGCTTCAAATTTGGCAGGATCTTGCCTTGGGGCGACAGAACACGGGGGCCGGTTGGCCGAAAAGTCTACGATGAGGGGGTCAAAACTGACCTCGACTGACCGGCGCCTTATATGGGCGAATTAATTAAGCATTCAAATTCTCAATGTTTTCGAGAGCCTAAACGAAGCTGGGCAGCATGCCTAGTATACTACTAAAACTCAAGTTTGTTTACATGTTTGAATATTTATTTTTTTGTTTGTCTGATTTGGTACTGTAAGGGAACTGCTCTATATGAGGGGCTGTAAAATAGTACGAATAATTTTTGATTGCAGACAGACTGTTAATCACACATTTATTTAAAGACGTTAATTAATTTATTGATTTATTCATAGGTAGATTAACCACATTAATTTTAAAGTTTTAGAACAATGGCTAAACTTTGACTGAATAGTGACGTTTGATAGCTCATTTTTTTGTTTGTTTGTTTTTTTATTTGTTATTGGGGAGAATCTGCATTATGTGTAGAGCTGTAAAATAGGATTTCGGGTGGTAAATATTGTTCTTTCTTAAACACACTGTTAATTACACACTAATTTAAAGCCGTTAATTAATGTATTGATATATTCATTGGTAGATTAACCACATTAATTATAAAAGTTTAGAACAATGACTTTTTTTTTACAACAATGTTTTCAATTATTTTTTATTAAGGCCTATATGTGAATGATAAGGTTGACTATCAGGACCTCGCGGGGCACAGGGTAGGTGAAGTAGAGTTCACCTGTTTCTATGTTCTCAGCAAATGAAGGGATAGCGTGGTCAGAGCCTTGCTCGGCCGGAATCGTTTTTTTTTTTTAAATACAAACATGTCTGAGACTTGGCGGGGCACTGGGCAGGTGCTCACAAGAAAAGGGGGAGAGATGATTTATTATGGAAACACGGGTAGCGAGATGTGTCCGTAATGTTCAGTAAAAGTAATATGACTTACGTTGATTAGCCGAATTTTTAACATTTCAGTCTACAGTCCCACTAACCTATCCTCTTTAACTTTAATAAAAAAAAATAATGACTGTCTCCAAACTCTGGGGACAGAGTGGTCTAGCGGTAGAGAGCTGGACTGCTAACCCGTTAGACTCGAGTTCGAATCCGGGTTCAAGTCAATAGACCGTCCCTGAGTCCACCCAACTCTGATGGGTACCTAACTCACGTTAGGGAAAGTAAAGGTGGCTGGGCATAGTGCTGACCACACTATCTCTTCACATGCCGAGGTCACAGAAACAAGTGAACTCTACTTCACTTGCCCTAAAAGGGATCTTTACTTTGCCAACCTGATTACCTGTACGAAAAATATTGTGTAAAATAGAGAGGTACACAGCGTCTATGTGCGATAACTATTTCAATAAAGAACAATTTTAGATAGTCTTAGCAAGTATAAATGCCGTAGAATTAACAGACATCGTAGAAAAGAATTATTACTAAAATTAAATTCCTAACTTTTTCCAGATTGTACAGATACAAAATAGTGTTATTGAATTAGTAATTTTGGCAGCATGGTTTGAGATATTTTCTAAATTTGTGTGGGCTTTCACTAGGGGGGGGGGGGGGGGGGGGTTGGTCGTCGAAAGTGGACGCTTGGAGACGGGGGAGGGGTAGGTCTAAAATTAAAAAAT